AGTTCCACCCTTGTAGATTTGACCAGTCGGGTTGCAGACACTCTCTGAAGCTGTAAACTTGTAGCCAATGAGCAGACGAACACGTGGATGTGTCAGAAGGCAGGATTGTGTGTGTGTCGCGGCATCGGATTGGCCAGTTACCACTGTGAAGGAAATCATCCGATACCGTAATTTCGTCAAGTATCGGCCCGATACCGATACCCAGCGCACCTTCTGAGGAACATGATGAGTCAAGTTGAAGTGGAATGAAAGACAAAGCAAGTTATCAGTTAATTTAATGTGATTAGATGTGTATGATGAGTGACCATACACAAGTTCTAATGGCAAAATGATGCAACTTGCCATTTACCTCTTGAAAAACAAAAAGCACTCGTGAGACGCCATTGTGTTTATCGCTCTGTTTTGAGCAAAACAATCGTCATACCTTCGCCATTCTTGAGAGACAAGAATTTGCTGAATTGTTGAACCCAAAGTAACACCGTGTGTATTGTGTGTGTATATGATCTCAAGTTTACTGAAGCTATAGTGTCAAGTGTGCCATTTGGGAAATGGTCAAAGATACATGAGTAGATTCAAATGATGTCTCATCTTGAAATTAGAATTAAAATGAATGAAGCTAAGTGACCTATATATTCCATGACCGTACGTCCAGTCTGCAATGCCAGGAGTCAGCATCTAGGTCCTCCTGCAGCTTGTGTTATCAACCCCAATGCTTATCCATGTGGGTGGGTGACCTGGAAGGCAATGGTTCCATGTGGTCATGTTGCCTCCGGGACAAAGACAAAGACAAAGGAACTGCGTTAGCTACGCTAAGATGGCAATTTTGGGCGGGGGGAGATGTTTAAGTATGTCGGGTTCTCGTCAAAAAGTACCAGTTTAATGGAGCATGAGGTAGACTGACCAGTTGGTGCTGCATCAGCAATAACATGGGTGTTGCACTGGACTGTTGCGATGAGTTCGGCCTTCCAAGGATACCTGTGGGTATCTTCCATCCTAGGTTTTTCAGGGCTTGTCCATTTGGGAGTCAGAACTTACCAGAGGGATTACATATCCCATCTGACCAATGCTTCAGGAAGGCACTGGGAAATGATGATGGGCGAGGGAATGCCCTGCGTAGCCTGCTGCCACAGTGACCCAATTTAGATAAGCTAAAGAAAAATGGATGGCTGGTGACATGGAATTGTCATATGTCAAAAGGGCACAAAGAATCATTTCATTCATTTTGTCACACTGTAAATGGTAAATGGTCTGCACTTATATAGCGCTTTTCTACCTTTGCGGCACTCAAAGCG